TTGTTTTATATGTATTTTATCTGGACCTAAGAGTCTGTCAATAAAGATTATCTATCTATCTATCTATCTATCTATCTATCTATCTATCTATCTATCTATCTATATATATATATATATATATATATATATATATATATATATATATATATATATATATATATATATATATATATATAGCCATGCCCTGATGTGGGGTTGGGGGTGCGTCAACATGGCCGGGACATAGCAGGGGGTGCGCGGCTAAATAAGTTTGGGAACCACTGCTCTAGGTTAAAGAGTTTTCGCTTCGGACGGCCGTTCCGTAGCTTTCTCTAGAACTGCATGCTGAAGGATGGAAGGCTGGAATGTGATTGCTGAATCACACCTGTGATTCTGTCTTAATATTCTCATATTGTGATTTACTAACAAATCAGAACGTGCCATGTTAAAGGGGTGTCACCAAGAAAACATCAGCCTTCTTTCAGATACAGGAGTTCTAATTGGTGCAACAGGAAGCAATGTGTCATGGTATTAGATTAACTTTAATTTATCTCTAATGAACCTTGTGTCTGAGTGTAGCTGATGATTACCTTGTCATATCAAACATTACTGATCATCATATATATAAATCTTTCATTTCAAACTTCAGTAATTCAAGCGCAGCATAATCAAAACATTCCATTAGTATCCATATGTAATGAGTTAAATTACATGTTATTTAATAAGCCATAAGGCATAAGATTCCATAGGAAATATGAAATCCACCTTATGGAATGTGAGGTTATTTTAAACCAGAAGATTGGAACTTTTTAATGCGGGGATTAGATAACAGCTTCGTATTCACTCAGAGACAACAGAAGAGAGAGTCAAGTTTAAAAGTTAAGAATTGTATTACTAACAAATTAAACTAGACTGACTTTAAACACTACATGTATGGTGTAACTAAGGTGGATGAGACGGTGAATGGGATGACGTGTGATGTTGCTCAGAACCAGCAAATCCGAAGAAGTGATTACTTCTGATGGGAACTGAAGGTGATGTCTTCACGTTAAGCTCTGGAGATTCATAAACACATTCAATGCCATTTGCCAGTCTACCAACCCTTGGTGGAAGCCCCCGTTAGATCAGGAATGTCGAGGTCCAGCTTGACCTTCTCTGGAACCAAAGCCGGTAGGAAAAGCAGCAGTTGCCGACCAGACCAGTCTGTGAGATACTTCCGGGTCACGACAATTTGTTGGCGTCTGGTGAGACCCGAGCCTGGGTCTTGATGGTTCAGCTTTTATTCTGAAAGGAACCGTTGCAGCAGTTGGAACAGCAACAGATTTTATCCAGCTTGTCGTTGGTTCTTTTGGCTGAAGAGGAGAGTTTCGAATTGGCCACTCCGTCACTTTCTCTGGAATGCTTTGAACTGGCATTAGAGATGACGTGGCATAGTTTTATACTTTGGATGTTATGGTTTATGGTCGAATGAAAATTTGACAGAGTTACCAAACACCATCAAAACCACGCCTCTGTCAGATCTGTCAGATTTTGATTGGATCAGTGAAAGTAATGTGTCATGTCTTTTAATGCTACGTGAAATCAGTCCTGTTGGAACATTTAAAGTCATGGGGCGATGGTGGCACAGGAGTTAAGTGCTCGCCTCGCAATCGGAAGGTCGCAGGTTCGAGACCCGCTCAGTCTGTCGCTGTCGTTGTGTCCTTGGGCAAGACACTTAACCCACATTGCCTGCTGGTGGTGGTCGGAGGGACCGGTGGCGCCAGTGCTCGGCAGCCTCGCCTCTGTCAGTGTGCCCCAGGGCAGCTGTGGCTACATTGTGGCTCATCCCCACCAGTGTGTGAATGTGTGTGTGAATGGGTGAATGACTGATTGTGTTGTAAAGCGCCTTGGGGGGTTCCAGGACTCTAGAAGGCGCTATATCAAATACAGGCCATTTACCATTTACCATTTTACCTTTATATTCCATAGGATTATAATAAAGAAATTAATATTTTGATTTCACTGATCAGTCACATCTTATTTATTGGCTAACACTTGGTTGGATTAGCTTTATTAAATAGAGTTCTTTGATTAATTAAAAGAAAAGAGTCCATTCTTCATTCTTCTGTTGAGCTGAAAATAAGCAGGTTAGAAGCGAATGCATGAGACCTTGAGACCATATCTCATGCAGACTAGTCCTGTGTCAGAGGAGGTGGAAAAACAGTCATTTCATTCTGTTACACATATAACATTGGTTGATTCATTACAATGATTGATTAACTCATATGAGCTGAAAATAGTCACTCTTATGACAGTCCAGTCTTTTATTCTGTGCAGGACAGCCTAGATAAGCAAGCAGGCTTGGCACAGGAGGACCTTGAGAAGGGAACGTGATGTTGACGATCTTGGCAATCTGAGTGTAAACACTCAGTGTTGAATCTTTTCCTGCAACTTGGAAGATTAACAGATGCACAGAGGCATATGTCATGTCTGCAGCTGACCGATGGCATGTAGGTCAATCTGTACCTGAAGACTGACCATTTCTGGACATTATACCTGTAACTTTATCACCTGTACACAGATTAGCAGAAAAGGGTGATTTCCTTCTAAGTTTGAGAAGTTACGCTTCAGTTAACGAGTAATTCTGTAATTTTAGGGACTGTTGGCAAGCGTCCTCTACTCTCCCCTCTGGAGATGAAAGAGGTTCTTTGTCTTCAAAGACTCATTTTTTAGCAGCAACTTAGAAAGGTTTCAAAATCTTTATTTTCTTGTTTCTCAGATGTTCTCCCAGTCACTGTGAGCACGGCGGCCAGTGCAGCCAGTCCTGGACGAACTTCCACTGCAACTGCTCCAACAGCGGCTACAGTGGAGCCACATGTCACAGCTGTGAGTCTCACAAACCCTAACAGACACCTTAGCGACACGTTTTTATAACACTTCTAAAATCAGACTGGATGAAACATCAGGTTGTTAAAAAGTACCGAAGCCCCAGAGGACACTAACTGTATCCTGGTCCTGTTGGACCTCCATCCTGCATGTTTTAGAGGGTTCTTAGCTTCAACATACATGGTTTCAATTGGTTATCTTCAACACACCTGGTTTTAACCAGTTAGCTGCAGCATGCCTGATTTTAATTAGTTAGTTTTAACACACCTGGCTTTAATCAGTTATCTTCAACACACCTGGTTTTAATCAGTTAGCTTCAACACACCTGGTTTTAACTAGTTAGCTTCAACACACCTGGTTTTAACCAGTTAGCTTCAACACACCCAGTTTTAATCAGTCAGCTTCAACACACCTGGTTTTAACTAGTTAGCTTCAACACACCTGGTTTTAACGAGTTAGCTTCAACACACCTGGTTTTAATAAGTTAGCTTCAACACAACTGGTTTTAACCAGTTAGCTGCAACACACCTGATTTTAACCAGTTAGCTTCAACACACCCAGTTTTAATAAGTTAGCTTCAACACACCTGGTTTTAACCAGTTAGCTGCAACACGCCTGGTTTTAATAAGTTAGCTTCAACACACCTGGTTTTAATAAGTTAGCTTCAACACACCTGGTTTTAACCAGAGCTTGGCAGCGTTGCGTCTGTCAGTGTGTCCCTGGGCAGCTGTGGCTACACTGTGGCTCATCATCACCAGTGTGTGAATGGATGAATGACTATGTATGTAGAACCCTAAAAAGTGCTGTATCAAATCCAGGCCATTTACTATCCCTGAAAAGAAGTGAGACTTTAAATTATTTGTGGAGCAAAAATAAAGTAATTTTGCTGCAAAAATGAAGATAAATTCTAGGTTTGAAATTTTAATAAACTGAGCAGAAAAAGTAAATATGTTATATTCATAATTTATTGGGGTTTTTTACTATGAGCTAATCAACCATAATACGGTATATTTTCCTGACTTTTTGTTTAGAAAAACTGAAAGTGCTTTAGTTTTTTTTTTTACTTGGTTTCAGACATTTTCCTCTGATGAATGAATTAAAATTACAAAACTTATACTGATAATTTGGGATTTTACTCTCTTTTACTCTTACTGGTGTTTAAAGTTTTCAAAAAACAGCAAAAATCCTTTCAGCGGCTCGAAGCAACAAAAAAATCCCTTCTTCAGCAGTATTCAGGAACAGCGGGGGAACATTTACTCAGTTTGTTTAAACTGTATTTAAAATGCATTAGTTTCCGGGTCAAACTTTTAGCGTTTACATTTTGTCAATATTAGCAACAAGCTATGATAAATAAATGTTCCAGCTTTTAGCATAGAAGGATTGTGAAATTCTAATGTAGGAGAATATCTAAAACCAAAAAAGCCATTTAAATCAGGAGGTCATTTAAACAGAAACAAACTGAATTCTTGTCTATAACCTTTGTAAGTTTGATCTGTAATTTTGATAATAATAAATAAAAGTGGGGGGATAGTTTAATATCTGCACTCCTTGAATCAGGAGGTGGGTTTTGTGTACATCTGGGTGGTATTTTAGAGGTTAACGAGCTGGCAGAAGAGCGTAAAATGCCCAACGCCCTGTAATGAGTGAAACCAGGCCGAGGAGGTGAGCCTTAAGCTCGGATTGATTGGTTGTGCTCTTTAGTGAAATCCACCAGGCGTTTCATTTAAGGTCTAATTCTGACCGCTGATGTCTCTGTGAGAGCTGTTTGCTAACACTGTTGAGTCAAAGGCATCTGGTCTGTGAAGAAATAAAAGGTGATCTTTTCAGATCCTCCAATTTATTTTGAAAGTTTTGACTGAAGATTCTGAAATCAGATCAAAAGTTCTTATCAATCTCATCTGTTTGATAGTTTTCTTTTTAAAGATTCTGATACAGAAATAAAAACCATTTAGTTATTTTGGGTGATGAGTCCCTCTCCCTGGGCTGCCACCTTACCATGGTGGGTTTGAGTGTCTCAATGATCCTAGGAGCTAAGTTGTCTGAGGCTTTCTGCCTCTGGTGGGGTCACCCATGGCAAACAGGTCCTAGGTGAGGGATCAGACAAAGAGCAGCCCGAAGACCTCTTATGATGAATTATATAAATGGAAACCGTGTTCCCTCGCCCGGACGTGGGTCACCGGGGCCCCCCTCTGGAGCCAGGCCTGGAGGTGGGGCACATTGGCAAGTGCCTGGTGGCCGGGCTTTCACCCATGGAGCCCGGCCGGGCACTGCCCGAAGAGAAAACGTGGGTCCCCCTTCCCATGGGCTCACCACTCGTGGGAGGTGCTCAAAGGGGCAGGGTGCAGTGTGTGACAGGTGGTAGTCGAGGGCGGGGACCTTGGCGGTCTGATCTTCGGCTACAGAAGCTCGCTTTTGGCACATGGAATGTCACCTCTCTGGTGGGGAAGGAGCCTGAGTTGGTGTGTGAGGTTGAGAGGTTCCCACTAGATATAGTCGGACTCACCTCAACACATGGCTCTGGCTCTGGAACCAGTTTCCTTGAGAGTGGTTGGACTTTCTACCACTCTGGAGTTGCTCCCACTGAGAGGCGCCGAGCAGGGGTGGGCATACTAGTTGCCCCCCATCTTGGTGCCTGTACGTTGGGGTTTACCCCAGTGAATGAGAGGGTAGCCTCCCTCCGCCTACGTGTGGGGGGACGGGTACTGACTGTGGTCTGTGCTTATGCACCAAACTACAGTTCAGACTACCCACCCTTTTTGGAGACCTTGGAGGGGGTGCTGGAAATCGCTCCTTCCGGTGACTCCCTCATTCTGCTGTGGGACTTTAACACTCATGTGGGCAACGACAGTGAGACCTGGAGAGGTGTGGTTGGGAGGAACGGCCCCCCGATCAGAATTCGAGTGGTGTTTTGTTATTGGACTTCTGTGCCAGTCATGGATTGTCCATAATGAACACCATGTTCAGACATAAAGGTGTCCATATGTGCTCTTGGCACCAGGATACCTTAGGCCGCAGCTCGATGATCGACTTTGTTGTTGTTTCATCTGACCTGTGGCTGCGTGTCTTGGACACTCGGGTGAAGAGAGGGACGGAGCTGTCAACTTACCACTTCCTGGTGGTGAGCTGGCTCAGATGGGGGGGTAAGGATGCCGGTCAGACCAGGCAGGCCCAAACGTATCGCGAAAGTCTGCTGGGAACGTCTGGCAGAGTCTCCTGTCAGAAGGAGCTTCAATTCCCACCTCCGACAGAACTTCCAAAATGTTCCGGGGGAGGCGGGCGACATTGAGTCTGAATGGACCCTGTTCCGTGCCTCCATTGTTGAGGCGGCCGACGGGAGCTGTGGTCGCAGGATCGTCAGTGCCTGTCGTGGTGGCAACCCCGAACCTGCTGGTGAACACCGGCGGTTAGCGATGCTGTCAAGCTGAAGAAAGAGACCTATCAGGTATTTTTGACCTGTGGGACTCCAGTGGCAGCTGACGGGTACAGCCAGTCCAAGCGGAACGAGGCTCGGGTGGTCGCCAAGGCAAAAACCCGGGCATGGGAGGAGTTTGGTGAGACCATGGAGCAAGACTTCCATACGGCTTCAAGGAGATTCTGGTCCACCATCCGGCACCTGAGGGGGGAAATCAGTGCTCTACCAACACTATCTATAGTGGGGATGGTGTGCTGCTGACCTCTACTCAGTATGTTGTGGATCGGTGGGCAGAATACTTCGAAGACCTCCTCAATCCCATCGACACATCTTCCAGTGAGGAAGCAGAGTATGGGGACTTTGGGTTGGCCTCTCAAATCTCTGGTGCTGAGGTCACTGAGGTGGTTAAATAGCTCCTCTGTGGCAAGGCTCCAGGGGTGGATGAGTTCCTTAAGGCTCTGGATGTTGTGAGGCTGTGTTGGCTGACGCGGCTCTGCAATATCGCGTGGACATCGGGGGAAGTCCCACTGGACTGGCAGACTGGGGTGGTGGTCCCCTTATTTAAAAAGGGGGACCGCAGGGTGTGTTCCTACTACAGGGGGATCACACTCCTGAGCCTTCCCGGTAAGGTCTATTCAGGGGTTCTGGAGAGGAGGGTCCGTCAGATTGTTGAACCTCAGATTCAGGAGGCGCAATGTGGTTTTCGTCCTGGCTGTGGAATACTGGGCCAGCTCTATACCCTTAGGGGGATCCTGGAGGTGCGTGGCAATTTGCCCAACCAGTCCATGTGTTTTGTGGATTTGGAGAAGGAGTTTGACCGCTTCCTTCAGGGGGCCCTGTGGGGGGTACTCCGGGAGTATGGGGTACCAGGCCCTCTGATACGGGCTGTTAGGTCCCTGTATGACCGGTGTCAGAGCTTGGGCCGCATTGTCGGCAGTACGTCAGGCTCGTTCCCAGTGAGAGTTGGACTCCGTCAAGGCTACCCGTTGTCACCGATTCTGTTCATAACCTTTATGGACAGGATTTCTAGGCGCAGCCAAGGTGTGGAGGGCATCCGTATTGGTGGCCTGAGGATCAGGTCTCTGCTTTTTGCAGATGATGTGGTCCTGTTGGCTTCTTCAGAACGTGATCTTCAGCTGTCGCTGGAGTGGTCCGCAGCCGAGTGTGAAGCAGCTGGGATGAGAATCAGCTCCTCTAAATCTGAAACCATGGTCTTGATTCAGAAAAGGGTAGAATGCCTTCTCCGAGTCAGGGATGAGGTCCTGCTCCAAGTGGAGGAGTTTAAGTATCTCGCGGTCTTGTTCACGAGTGAGGGAAAACTGGAGTGTGAGATCGACAGGCGGATTGGTGCTGCATCTGCAGTGATGCAGGCGTTGTACTGGTCTGTTGTGGTGAAGAGAGAGCTGAGTCAGAAGGCAAAGCTCTCGATTTACCAGTTGATCTATGTTCCTATCCTCACCGATGGTCTTGAGCTTTGGGTAGTGACCGAAAGAACGAGATTGCGGATACAAGCGGCCAAAATGAGTTTTCTCCGAAGAATGGCTGGGCTCTCCTTAAGTGATAGGGTGAGAAGCTCGGTCATTCGGTAGGGGCTCGGAGTAGACCTGCTGCTCCTCCACATCAAGAGGAGCCAGTTGAGGTGGCTCGTGCATCTGGTCAGGATGCCTCCTGGATGCCTCCCTGGTGAGGTTTTCCGAGCACGTCCAACCTGGAGGAGACCTAAAGGTAGACCCAGGACATGTTGGAGGGACTATGTTTCTCACCTGGCCAGGGAACGCCTTGGGATTCCCCCGGAGGAGCTGGCCCAAGTGGCTGGGGAGAGGAAAGTCTGGGCCTCTCGCCTCAGGCTACTGCCCCAGCGACCCGACTCCAGATAAACGGATGAAAATGGATGGATGGATGGATGGATGGATGGATGGGCGATGACTCAGCTGTGACGCATGTAGATGAAGAACAGCCTATAATCTACCTCTGTGTGTGTGATCTTCATCCTCATCACAGTTCTTTTCTACGTTGATCCTTTATCTCTCCTCCTCCAGCTGTGCACGAGCAGTCCTGTGAAGCGTACAAACACAACGGCAACACGTCTGGGTACTTTTATATTGACGTGGACGGCAGCGGACCCATCAAACCCCAGCTGGTCTTCTGCAACATGACGGGTAACTCGTTATTCTCCTCCTCTTCTTATCGCTACTCATTATGGTTTTCCACAATTAGCAATGACTTAGTTACAGTTTGCATTTCTGGGATTAAAATCTTCAAGCTACAGTTATTCACCCCACTGCTCCATTGACTTCCATTGTTTATTACACCTTGGATTCTTTTCTGTTTTCTTTATTTTTCAAATATCCTGCTGCCTTTCACTAATTTTCAAATGAGTTATTTGATGTAAACATTACCTGATATGTAGGTTTTTTTTGCTGTTAAACAGCCCTAACAAATCCTTGATAATTGATCACCTGTATTGACGTTTGGTCAACAGATGTGAACACCTGGATGGAGATTCAGCACAACAACACTGAGCTGACCAAAGTGCGGTCTTCTCCAGGCGTAAACCAGCACTTGGTTCACTTTGACTACATGTCTGAAGAGGAGCAGCTGTTGTCCATCGTGGACCAATCAGAGCACTGCCAACAGGAACTGTCCTACCACTGCAGGAAGTCCCGCCTCCTAAACACTCAGGGTAAGGAATGTGTTTAATTTGATCCATTTCTGAATTACTGTGATGGATGATGGTTATGAACCAAAGCATGTTGGGTTTTGTGGCTTATTAAAACCTTGCAGGAATGAAGGATCTACTGATTATGAGGATTTTGATATGATCATGGTAAAAAGTAAAATTGAAACGGTTGTTGAACAGTTTACAAATATTTGTAATTTGTCACTTTCATTGGGAGTATTCCCTGATGCAATGAAATTTGCTAAAGTGGTCCCATTAGTTAAAGGGACTTTACGGAGTTTTGAATTTTTATGCTCGCGATTGCCCCCTCAGGCCAAAAGCGTAACGGCAGCTTCAATAATAGGCTCGTGCACGAGGCGCGCATGCTGTACGTGCACACTCTTTAACAAAAATAACAGCTGAAACAGTCCCTTGTGTGTGTGTGTGTGTGTGTGTGTGTGTGTGTGTGTGTGTGTGTGTGTGTGTGTGTGTGTGTGTGTGTGTGTGTGTGTGTGTGTGTGTGTGTGTGTGTGTGTGTGTGTGTGTGTGTGTGTGTGTGTGTGTGTGTGTGTGTGTGTGTGTGTGTGACCCGGAGGACAGAGGACAGGAGAACGCGCAGCTAATTAATTAAATAATTTGGTTCTGTACCTTTCTCTTCAGCACAGCCAACAAAGGTTTAAGATGGGTCAGTCCTGCATGCTCAGATCATTCCCTTCCCTTGCTTGAAACATTTTTCCAAAATGAAATTTGAACCCACATCCTTTTTATCTGTGAATTCAATGCCGTTCGGCGAGTCTCAAATAAAAATTTGGGCAACTTACTGTAAAAAAAATATACCATTAATGAAAAAAAGAAACTCTAAATATATTATGTTGACATCCGGAATCAAACCCGGGTCTCCTGTATGAGAGTCCAACGTCTTAATAGGTGAGCTATAGCGCCAGTGGTAAAGGTGTTATCTGTAAAATGTATATGTTTGATGACAGCTGAAACAACGTTCAAAGAAAGGTTCGGAGTGAAAATGGCTATTTTGTTGCTAATTTGCAGGAAATATCTACAAGAAAGTTCTACAGAAAGTAGCTAAGGGTTCTCAGAAATGTAGCTAGCTTTGTCACTAGGCATTAGGAACAGCGACAAAGACTAAAGCTACGGATAGCAAATGCTACGGGCTATGCCTGAGCGTGAATGCACATGAAGCAGCCTGCTCGACCCAAGCAGCTCTCTTTTTCTGTGATTTTACAGAAAAACAGGCAATCACAGTAAAAATGCCAGGACTCATTCTACAGGACCAGGCCATTGCAGGAGAATGTATGAAGAAGAAATGTAATATTTCTATATATTTTGGCTGTCAAACTTCCATAATGCCCCTTTAAGAATGATGATAAACATAATTTTACTAATTATCAACCAATATCACTGCTTCCACAGTTTTCTAAAATTATGGAAAAAATCTTTGTTACATGCATGGATAAGTTTATTGAGGAAAATAGTGTTCTAAATAATGGACAGTATGGCCTCAGGGCCAATCACTCAACTGCTATGGCTATAATGGAATTGGTTAATAGAATATCAACTGCAATAGACAATAAACAATATTTTCTAAGTATTTTTTAAAGCTTTTGATGTTATAGATCATGCTAGGTTATTACAAAAATTACATAGCTATGGAATCAGAGGTGTGGCACATCAATGGGTGAGAAGTTACTTTGAAAATAGAAAACAATTCATTCAGATAGATAATATTAAATCACAATTGAGGGAAATTAGTTGTGGTGTTCCTCGGGGGTCAGTTCTAGGCTTAATAATCTTCTTAATCTTAAGAAAACAAAATTTTTGTTGTTTAATGACAGAGGTACAAATATATCGTTGAAAATGGTTGGTATGGAACTTAAGAGGGTAAAGGAAATCAAATTTTTGGGTGGTATGTTTGATGAAAATCTTTCATGGAAACCACATAGTATACACATTAAGGGAAAACTAGCTAAGGCCATTGCAGTATTACACAGAGTTAAAAGTTTATTGAATAATTCTGGAATGTTAACTCTCTATAATGCACTGATTACACCATATTTGATGTATTGTGTGGAGATCTGGGGTTCCACATAAAAACTTATACTTCACCACTGTTTGTTTTACAAAAAAGAGCATTAAGACTCATCAACAGTAATTGTTACAATGATCACTCTAATCCATTGTTTATACAATATAAAGTGCTTAATTTTTATGATTTGGTAGAGTTTAAAATATTGTGAATAATGTATAAAGCTTGCAAAAATATCATGCCCATAAATGTACAGTCATTGTTTATAATCTAAAAGGAGCTGATATATTCAAAAAACCTTAATTTAGAAGGAGTTCAGTATTAGTGTCCAAGGAGTAAAATTCTGGAACCATTTAAGCAATGAAACCAAAGCCACTAAGTCACTTAGTATATTTAAAAGATATATTAAATTAAAAGTTTATCATAACTACAGCATTGAATTATGAGGAGAATTGAGATGTATTATTTTTTTAACAAGACACTTGATTGTTATAGAGATAGGTTGATTAACATTTATTCATTATGTGGTCCTGTGATTTATTTACATACTAAGTACAACTGTTATGTTTTATTGAAAATTCTTTGTTAATAATTAAGCTGATGATGTTTTTATTTTGTAAAAAGGGGCAGAGCTTTATAAGATGTATTCTTCTGTCTGCTCCTTTTCATTCATGGATTTTGTATAGAATTTTAATTGTTATTGATTTTATTCTGATCTTGTTTGTTTTTTTTTTACATATTTTTTCTTTGAATGAAATAAAAATAGAAAAAATAAATAAATAAAAGCAGGGTAGTCAGGGCCAGTCGGTATTTCTTATGGCGCTTACATATTAGGGTTGGTATGGTCTTGAACAGGACCGGAGTTTGTTTTAAATTCTTGCGCGTCCTAAACGCCTAAAGTCCTTCAGAACTACATGGGAACAGTACACTGCCCGTGCGAGAACGAACTGACACTATCCTCCCCGGACCATACCGACCCTAATCTGTAAGCGGATTTAGATTTCTTAAAGAAATTAAGGCTCAGTTCCCAGCCCTTTTTAGCCCCACCCTTTTTAGTTTATTTTGCTAACTCTGACGCCGTAGAAACTAATTGCACATTTACAGTGAGAGTGGTCAGTGACAAAATAATTCCTCAAGAGGGTCTTGACAACTTTTGGAGGCCACTAGAGTTTGTATCTTTGAGGAGACTTCACAAAGGTTGTTATACCATGAAGGCGTGTTCGGCAGTGACCGACAGGACCCCACCTCCCCACCCGCCGCTTGGAGATGTTCTGCTGGAGAAATGAGCCACTAACAAACACACACACACACACACACACACACCGCTCAGACAGAGAAACAGCAGCAGGCTTCGTACTCTTAACAGTAATTTTTGAACAAACTACTCGTTCGTATTGGTCATTAAAAAAGCCAAAATACAGCCTATTTTATATTCTCACACTTTTATTGTTTAATCTAAAACTGTAAAATGAAACAGTAATATGGGAGATTATATCAACTAATGTTTGGGACATTTCAGCCTGAATTTGGGATTATAATTTAATAATTTAACAAAGACAGATCTCATTATTCAAACATTTTATCTAATCCTAATCCTTTTAATCTCTTAATCTTGTTTTGAGGGGAATTTTATCCTGCTGGTTTTTCTTCAGTTGGCTTCAAGCATGGACTCAAAAAAGAAGCAATGAGTGTTGGAAACAGAATTAGAACCACTTTGATCTCCAGATTGCTTTGAATTTCTGGATTGTTGAACGGCGGTCACTGTAGTCCGCACACAGGCACGGCGCAGAGTAAAGAGACTCATTTAAACATATTAAAGAAGATTTCTGCGTCCTATTTCAACACTCAGATGTTACTGAATACAGCTGGACAATCAGTATTTTTACATGTTTTGCAAAAATAAATCAACAAATAGGCACAGAAAGAAACATTTAAATAATACTAAATGGGTGTTTGAGGAATAGAAATGAATGTAAAATACAAAAAATACATGAAAAAATGCATAAAATTTATAAACATTTCATTGTTTTTTAACTTGTTATTCCTATCAGATATTATGCAAGAGAAGAAGAATTTGTTGCTGATGAGTCATAAAACAGATGAAAACTGAAAGTGACAAAAAAGATGAAAAATAGACATTATAGCAAAGACAAAGAAGAGCTGACTCATCAGAAACATTTCATATCATCCTCTTGTTGACCTACACCCTCAGAAGAGGCAATATGCTGTTTTTCTGTGTGAGAGCCATCATCAGACCGTATTCAGCTTCAGGGTTTCAGATCCCGTCCTCTCAACCAGCCATTCCTCCCCATCCCCGCATATTTTTCTCCTCCTGCTCCCTCAAATCATCACACAAACATGCACATAGGACCTTGGGGGGTGGACAAGTCAGGGAGTGCGGGTATGCACCCCATTTCCGCATTCCTGTGGCAACCTGCCCCCCAATTTTATTTGCACCTTATACGCTTCCACTGACGACATTCCACGCAAACACACACTTAGGGCCTTGGGATTGAGCACATTCAACGGCACTTGGCAGTGGGATTTCTCAGCCTCATCCCAAGTGCCGGTGCCCACTTCCAATTTTAAACTGCACTTAGACACCGAGGGCTGTGGGTACAAGTGGGGTGGTGCAGTGGCATCAGCTGGCATAGGCCAGACAATGCCTGCACTGCCCGCTCACCACAGCCATGGAATACACCTCATCAACACACAACAACACTATATTGGAGCAGGCGGAGGGAGACTAGGGGTCTTAGCACACCTCTTTTGTTGCTTGGCTTCCTGGGGCTGGAGGCTAGGAGGGAGATCTGGCCGTCTGGTTGGGGTCTGGGGTGGTGGGTTGCTGTGCTCAGCGTTGGGCGGGGGAGCCTGCTCATCAGCACCCCAGCAGAAGGGGTCGAACTCTGGTAACCGGTAATGGTTGTACCCCATGTGCAGCAGTACCGGGACCAGAGTGAATAGGGTGTGTATGGGGAACATGAGTGGGTGTCCGGCGTGTATTTTTGTAAGTCTTTGGTTGTATGTGCATGTGTGAGAATGAGGGAGGGAGTGTGTGACTGTGTTTGTGTATGACTGTATATGTCAGGTGGGGCCTTTGAGTCCTCTCTTGTCCTGGGACTTCTTTTGATGATATAGATCTTCGTCTCCCCTCTCCCTGCTGCACCTGGTGTGGGGTGCAGTGCCTTGGTCTGCCTGAGGGTTCGTGGCTCCCGAGTTAGGTGGTTTAAGATTTTTGGCGTCTGCCTGATCAATCCTGGTGGCTTCCTGGTGGGGTCTGGGTCCATGGGCTCTGCTAGGTCCCCGGCGGGAGTGGTCGCCCCTGGGTCCCGAGTCGCTGGGTCCCGGGCTCGGCCGGCTAGGGGGTGGGAGGCTGGGGGGAGCGCCTGAGGGCTTGCCACTGATGTCTCCCGGGACTCTACCGGCTGCTGGTTGTGGCCCCCCGGGGCGATCCTCTGTGCCTCTCGAGGGGGGCCGGGGGCCTTTCTGGTTGCAGTCTCCTTGGGGTTCCTGTGTTCTGGGGCAGCGCCTGGATCTCTGGGACTTGGAGCTCCCTCCGTCTCCTACACATTTTTGGGGGGCAGATCTGTGATCCCTCACACTCTCTATTGGACGCTCCTATAGAGAAACCTTACATAAACAAGCGCATGTACACACAGGTGCTCACATGGTGCTCTCAAAAGTATGGGCTTGGGAACGTTCAACACATGTTTTAAGGCTGTCGTTGCCACTAAATGCACTATGATTTATCATCCTGTGATTGCTCAGTTAAACAATGTTGATTTTATATTTCATCATCAGGTTGACGCAGTGATAGCTTGCTCCTGATGTATTGTTGTGTGTCCCATTTTTTCTATTCTTTCTCTTTCTGCAGGTCTAGAAGCAGACTCTTGTTCATTGGTGTTTATTTTTGTGGACCCCCCCCCCCCCCCAACCACCACCACCACCACCACCACCTTTTGTCTTTTCCTTTCTCTTTCACCTCTGACTCAGTGTCTGGTCGGAATTAAAAAGCATTCAAAAACAATAACAATAAAGTTTTAAGTATCAGGCGTGACATAAAAAAAAAAAGATCCTGTCCTCTCTGAGCAAGGCACAGAGAGATTTGAATTCATTCTTCTTTTCCAGTTTTTACTCCGGCGTCTCAGTCCTCTGCTTCTCTTAAGTGTCTCCCTGCTTTGATTCAGATCAAATCTGTTGACATATTGTTCAAAAGATGCAGAATTTTGTCTAGGTGTCTTCATGTAGGAGAACAATGAAACCATCATCTGCTGTTGTAATTGTTGAGAAAAGACGAGTAATAAAAGCTGTGTGTTTCAGAGGGTTCTCCCTTCAGCTGGTGGCTCGGCGGACCCGGTTCTGGTCGAGCCCAGACTTATTGGGGAGGAGCTCATCCAGACAGCCAGCAGTGTTCCTGCGGGCTGCAGGGCGACTGCGTGGATCCACAACACTACTGTAACTGTGACGCCGACCGTTTGGAGTGGTACGGACAGTTAACACAAAAACAGTCACTGTGGGCTTGTTTTAATGTCTTAATTTAGACAAATGGAATGATTCATAGAGAGCTGTATCATCTGCAAAGCAATTAGTGGAGAGAGAAGCCAGTGCAGCTGTCATCAGTATATCTAAAAAACAAGAGTTGCTAAGACAGATCCCTGAGGAACTACTTAAGTAGCCTTAATATAATTCGTTTTTTAATCTTTTGAATTCTAATGACATTTCCAAGCGATCCCAAACTTTTGATCTTTAATATAAAAACTTGAATGCTTCACTTTGTCATTTTCCTGTTTAACAAAGGTCAGAATGGTGCATCCACAAGCAAGAGCAGCTACTAAAACCTAGTTTTATTGTCAGGGAAACGACTCTTACTCCTGGAAAAGCTGTTGCAACATTTTTTTTATTGGTAAACATTCCTTCAGCCATTTCTTCTTTTTTATTATTTTAACACAAGTCTGCAGTTTAGCAGACGTTTGGTTGATTTTATTGACGAGGTCTGTTTGGTTTGATCGAGTCTCGATTCTCTGCACAAAGCTACTAAACTCTGCTGTGATTTAGTTTTTGTTTGAGAGCATTTTGGGTAAAAATTCACAGCTTTAAACTTTTTGCAGCTAAATGCAATAAATAAAAAACATGACAGTGCAAATGTAAACAAACTGCTGGGTTTAGGTAGTGTGGTTGTGTTTTCTGTTCTAATATAACTCAATATTGTCCCATGCATGTAAATGTAACCACTTCGGGAAGAGCCTTGAGCAGGAAAATAGCATGTCTGTCATCTTTTTTTTTGTCTGAGTTCTCACTGCTGATCTTTTTTCCACATCACCTCCCCCTCCGTTTGGGTAAATTCTCACCTGACAGGAAGATTGACGTGTAGATTATCAGAACACGGGTGTAAATGGACAGAGCTGCTCGCTTAGCTGTCTATCTGGATGCTCTTTTGGAAATGGCCATCATAGGAAGTGGCAGAGATGGAGTGTCGAGTGTCAGGATGAATATGATCTGACCTGGCTGACTAATAGAACGTTTTCCTGTAAAAACGATCCGCACGGAGTCAAAATGTTGCATTTCTGTCATGGCTGCATCTTCAGTCTTTATGCTAATTGGATTTTATTACTTCTCATATTCTCTTTTCATGTTATTCTTTGTTCTCCCTTTCTTTCCTATTTATTTCTGCAATTCATCCCTTCACCTCTCCCCTGACAGGAGTGAAGACTCGGGACTTCTCACCCACAAGGCGAGCCTCCCGGTCAGGTCTCTGGTTCTGGGGGACGTCCAGAGGCCTGGGTCAGAAGCTGCCTACAGGGTGGGTCCGCTCCGTTGTCATGGAGACAGTAAGTCCATCACTAGTTGAAACAACTGAAATATCTGTTTTAGACATGCATCATGTGATATTTCTACGTAAAGTTCATGAGAGTTTTTAAAACTGTTTCCAGGGAACTTTTGGAACGCCGCATTTTTCAACAAAGAGACGTCGTACCTCCACTTCCCCACCTTCCACGGAGAGCTGAGCGCAGACATCTCCTTCTTTTTTAAAACCACCACCTCCTTTGGGGTGTTCCTGGAAAACCTGGGCATCAAAGACTTCATCCGAATCGAACTGAGCTGTGAGTACGGTAAAAACTGGGGGGAATTTAATCCGGATTAGGATGACATGTCAGTGAAACCTGGAAGCTTTAATCCGCCTACACCCAGATGACACAGACAATCTGCATCAAAGGCATCCTCCTGGGGAAATAGTGTTTACAGTGAAACTCAGTTGTGTAGCGTGGACAATCTACATACTCGAATTAACGCTGTTTGCTATCAGCTTTGTTAGATTCTGAATAAAAGATCAGACACATTAGCGTATGAACCTATATCATGCATAAACATCTATGCAATCGATAGAAGTTCATACACCAACGGGCTTGGTCTATATTTAATCCAAAGATTAATTTTTAATTTAAGATATTTAAATTAATAGCAAAAGTTTATTTATTAAACAGAAGACTTAATGGATTATTTGCTTATTCAATAACCAAATATACACCATTCTGTGTTTCATTTCAAAGAAGTCAGGTTTAAAAAGTTAAGAATTTATTACTAACAATTTTAAAGATGACAATTGAAATGACTATTTAAAAATGGCAATTTGTAACAGTTTTGATATTAAACTTGGTATTAAAAGCAAACCTGTGTCTGAATGGAAAACTAAAATGGAATGCTTATGTTGGATGCGTGGATATCTCAGAAGATGTCTTTCAGAAAGAGAAACTCGTTCTGGGTGGAAAACGTTGTTTTGCAACTAACTGAGTTGTTTCTTAGAGATAACAGCATACAGACGCCATCTGTCGGAAAGTGTATACCTCACCCAGTTCATGAGACCCTCTGGTGGATCCGAGATGTCAGGTGGAGATGATGTCCTCCGGGCACGAGGTTGGTAGAAAGGCCTCGGTGCGACTCAAATCGATCCTGAGATGTCTCCGGGTCACAGCGACTGATTAAACTAGTTGCGTCTCAAAATCATTAACTCTGAAGGAGTTTTGGTCAGCTGGTTACAGGTGGCGTTTATTCGGAGCAATTCTATCGGCGTGACAGAACAGCTTAGTGGAGGCTTCAGGTGGCCGACCCTCGTCCTCTGGTACACTCGTCGCCACGAGAGTATCTGGTTGGTTCAAGAACTGAAGTTGAACTGATGAGTTTTTGGTTTTAACAAAACCACAGAACACGCCCTCTCAGCGTCAGAAAGCTTGTTGTTATGGAGCAAAGACATGTGAGAGCAAGTTAACTTTACCCTGGATTCAGTTCTGCATGGTGTGTACACCTGCAAATGACCTTCTGGTTACTGATCAAACATTACTGATTATCATAAATAATAATGTCACACCCTGTCCTGTCTCCCCATTCTGTTCAGTCCTGTGTCCATGTTTATTGCTCCCACCTGCCTCTCGTCTCCCAATCACCCAAGGTCCCAGCTCCTCCTGTATTTAGACCCTGTTAGTCCATTTTGTCTGGTTGGCTCATTGTTTCATTGTCCAGCGTGTGTTTAAGATTAAAGACTCTAAACTCATTCTGGTTTGTCTGCCTGCCTGCTTCCCTTACCCGCATGTGGATCCTTGTATCTGCCTCACTCACTGGCACGTTGTGACAGAATGAGCCAACCTTGTGAAGGATCCAGCGGGGAGGTTCTTCCTTGGGAGTGTTTGCTCCAGTTTTTAACCGCAGATCACCGGCCGGCTTCTCCTCCTCTGGCCTCGTCTCGCCGCAGACGCCGTCGCCGAACCCCGGCTGCGACGATCCCCTCCGCCTTCCCGGAGCTAGATGTGAGGTTGGACCAGGAGATGCAGCTAGACCGCTCCTGCTACGTGGGCACCAGACTGGCTGTGTGCTCCCCCGGAGCTGGCCCACAGCGTTGGGAAGGATGCCGGGCTCCACCGTCACCCCTGGTCCCAGGACGGAGCCGTGAGCTCGCTGCAGCTCCGGCTCGGCGCGCCAGCTTGGACCCGCCCCCAGTCAGACCACCAGTCCCGTCTCCGGTCCAATCAGCACCTCCGTCTTCTGCAGGCGGAGGGACCACGCCTACAGCCCAGCTGACAGAGCTCGCCGGCCTCCAGGCAGAGCTTGGCCGGATCCATCAGCTTGTCAGCCTCCAGGAGTTCCAGCTGGACACCCTCTCCTCCCCGAATTACCAGGAGAAGGTTCCGGTCCATTCTGCAGCTCCTTCATCTCTTGGCCAAAGGATCGAACCCGCAGTCAACCCAGCAGAGCTCGCCGGTCTCCGAGCTGAGCTGGCCTAACTCCATCAGAGCCTCAGTCTCCAGGAGCTCCAGCTGGACACTCTATCCTCCCTGCTCTCCCAGTTTCCGGCACCACCAGTTCAGTCAGCTCCTCTCCCAGCGGTGGTCCCGGAGGTCGCACCGCATCCAGTTCCAGCGGTGGTCCCGGAGGTCGCACCGCATCCTTCTCCAGCGGTGGTCCCGGTGGGTGCACCACATCCAGTTCCCGTGGTGGTCCCAGAGGTCGCACCGCATCCTGTTCCAGCGGTGGTCCCGGAGGTCGCACCACATTTGGTCCAGCCTGTCCAAGCGGTCCTGTCTGTAGCAACTCCTCCTCCACTCCAGAAGCCGATGCCCCCGGACCAGAAGTCGACGCCCCCGGACCAGAAGTCGACGGTCCAGAAGCCGACGCCCCCAGACCAGAAGTCGACGCCCCCGGACCAGAAGTCGACGGTCCAGAAGCCGACGCTCCCGGACCAGACGTCGATGCTCCCGGACCAGAAGTCGGCGGTCCAGAAGTTGACTGTTTAGAAGTCGACGGACCAGAAATCGGCGCCCCCGGACCAGAAGTCGACGCCTCCAGACCAGAAGTCAATGGAGGTCGACGCCCCCAGTCCTGTGGTCGACGCCCTTTCCAGTCCTGAGGTCGACGCTCTCTCCAGTCCAGAGGTCGACGGTCTTTCCAGTCCAGAGGCCGACGCTCTCTCCAGTCCAGAGGTTGACGCTCTCTCCAGTCCAGAGGTCGACGGTCTTTCCAGTCCAGAGGTCGATGCTCTCTCCAGTCCAGAGGTCAACGCTCTCTCCAGTCCAGAGGTCGACGCTCTCTCCAGTCCAGAGGTCGATGCTCTTTCCAGTCCAGAGGTCGACGCTCCCTCGTGTCCAGAGGTTGACGCTCTTTCCAGTCCAGAGGTCGACGCTCCCTCATGTTCAGAGGTCGACATCCCCTCCAGTCCAGAGGTCGAAGTCCCCTCCAGTCCAGAGGTCGACGTCCCCTCCAGTTCAGAGGTCGACGCTCCCTCCAGTTAAGAGGTCGACGTCCCCTCCAGTCCAGAGGTCGACGTCCCCTCCAGTCCAGGGGTCGACGCTCCCTCCAGTTAAGAGGTCGACGTCCCCTCCAGTCCGAGGTCGACGTCCCCTCCAGTCCAGGGGTCGACGCCGTCTCCAGTCCCGTGGTCGACGCCATCTCCAGCCCAGTGGTCGACGCCATCTCCAGCCCAGTGGTCGACGCCGCCGTCTCCAGCCCAGTGGTCGACGCCGCCGCCTCCAGCCCAGTGGTCGACGCCGCCGCCTCCAGCCCAGTGGTCGACGCCGATGCCTCCAGCCCAGGGGTCGACGCCGACGCCTCCAGCCCAGGGGCCGACGCCGTCGCCTCCTGCCCAGGGGCCGACGCCGCCACCTCCAGCCCAGGGGCCGACGACGACGCCTCCAGCCCAGGGGCCGACGCCGCCGCCTCCAGCCCTGAGGTCGTCGCCGCTGCCTCCAGTCCAGAAGTCGAAGACGTGTCCTCCGGCATCTCTGCCTCCGGTCACCGCCAGTCCTGCCCTCACCAGGTGCGGGTCCCCAAGAGCCCGTCGTCGCCTCCTCCTCTCCACAGACGCAGGTCCCCAAGAGCCCGTCGTCGCCTCCTCCTCTGCCACAGACGCAGGCCTCCAAGAGCCCGTCGTCGCCTCCTACTCTGCCACAGACGCAGGTCCCCAAGAGCTCATCGTCGCCGCCTCCTCTGCCACAGACGCAGACCCCCCAGGAGCCGTTCGTCGCCTCCTCTGCCCCAGGCGCAGGCCCCTGGACTCTACTGGTCCCTGCCTTCTCTCCATCGGTCCCTCTCGGCCCTCCCTCTGGTTCCCCCTCCTCCCGCCCTGCTCTGTGTTCCTGTGGGCGTCTGGAATCCGCCCTTTGAGGGGGGGGGGGGGGGGGGGTACTGTCACACTGCCACACCCTGTCCTGTCTCCCCATTCTATTTCAGTCCTGTGTCCATGTTAATTGCTCCCACCTGTCTCTAGTCTCCCAATCACCCAAGGTCCCAGCTCCTCCTGTATTTAAACCCTGTTAGTCCATTTTGTCTGGTTGGCTCATTGTTTCATTGTCCAGCGTGTGTTCAAGATTAAAGACTCTAAACTCATTCTGGTTTGTCTGCCTGCCTGCTTCCCTCACCCGCATGTGGATCCTTGTATCTGCCTCACTCACCGGCATGTTGTGACAAATAATTATTATCAACCCAAAGAATAATAAGTCATTTCAGTAATTAAATACATTTATACTGAACCATGATGATTATTTATGATGATGATTATAATAAACCTTGTAATAAACAGTAAAAAGAGTTTATTAAAATTATTATTTTAAAATCTCGAAGTGTCCTTCATCTTGCGGAGAAACAGCAGACAGATAAAGCAGTCAGATTAAAGATGGTGTTCAGCAGACTTTACGGCTCCTGCGATGGATAATCTGTGGGACAAAGTACAGCTCGACCCAGCTCAACCTAGCTGCGGAAGTGTGACCTTTGGGACACAAAATGAGGCCATTCATATTGCTACAGCTGTCCTGACTTACTCTGGAATATGGCAACATCACCACTGTTGACTCATAATCTCAGACAAAGAAAAAACCGGAGCGAGTTTATTCACCACGTCACTCCAAAACACCACGATCAGGTCGGAAAGTGGGCCATCTCATCCATACCAATCTGGTCAGGAAAACTCTTCTAAAAGCAGGACATTTTATTTTAATGCTGTTGGCAATAAAATATCCCCTGAACTATTAAGTCAGTTATCATTTGGATCATGACCGAACCAGATGGTGGCTCAGATAAGGCTCCACCTAGAGACGATGTGAGGAGCTCATCTGGGAGCAGCTTAGGAAAGAGTTGCTGCTCCTCCTCATCAACAGGACTCAGCTGAGGTGGTTCAGGCATCTGATCATGTTTTCTCTGGAGGCTTTAAGCACATCCCACACGGAGGAGAGCTGGGGCAGCTGCACAACTCCTGTCTGATCCACACAAGCCTTGGGAATGAGCTGTGTTTATCCTTTAGATCTTGGATTTTAGTTTTTCCTGAGGACATTATTGCTTTTGTAGCTCTTTAACACTTAGAAATGAGTTGAATGGGGCTAAACCCTGGCACAGAAGCGCATCTTCAAATACTTGCTCTCCGTTTCCAACCCATTCCTGTCTATGCGGCGTGTCGCATCGGAGCTGCAGTGTGCTGCTCCTAAACGTGCTGTTGGTCTCTCTTCTCCTAAGTAAAACTATTTCACTTGGTGCAGCGAGCAGGACGGATCAGTGACAACGTGTTGCCTCGAATCAGAAGGTGTGACCCATACTAACGTTTAGAAGTAAATGTGTGTCTACTAATTACTCCATTTCACCTTCTTCCTTGTTGCTTAAACACTCTTCAAACTGGAAAACTAGTAACTTTCTGGTTTTCCATAAACATGAGCACACCCCGGATGCAGTTTGCAGCGTGTACATTTTCCTTTTGCGCCCGTTTTCAGCTCTTCTCCTTTGCAGAAAGGATGGTTGCTTTAAATCAGGTGGAGAATCCTGGTTCCTGAAGGCACTATCCTGCATGTTTTAGTTGTTTCTCTGCTTCAACTCACCTGATTCTAATCAGCAGGGGACGAACTGGCTTCTGCAGAGCTTAATGGCCCACTGACCAGGTGGTTCAACCTCTAAATAAGGGGCAGGGAACAACTATAACGTTCAGAAGTGACCCTTGAGGACCAGGGCTCCCCACCCCTGCTTTAAATGATAAAAGAACATGACAAACCTGTGAAACTTGAATGTCAGCGACGTGCATAAGAACCCTAATCTGGCCTACAAATTAAAATCAATCGTCTATAAAAACCTCTGCATATAATATTTATGTGTCCTTAAAGTAAAAATTACACAAAAACTGCACTGATTCAAATCCACTGAATGTCTTTTAAAGGAATATTTTAATAATAATAATAGTAATTTATATTTACATAATAATAATAATAATAATACAAATATTTTTATTAAAAGATTGATGCATTCATTAGATTAGATCATAATACTAATAATAATGTCAATATTTGAATTTTTGAATTTTCTGCTGTTTGTATCACAAATACTCCTCCTACTGATTAGTTTATTGAACGTGTGATCTAACAAACCGCGTATGGCTTAGACAACAGACCAGTCATGTCAACATTTTCAAGTTTGTTCTATTTTTCCTCTAGTTTGTGATGATTTCTTCTTTATTTTTGTGCCTGGGGACTTTATCTGTGCTCTCGCTGGCCTATATGGTGGCTCTAGGACAAACTGGAGGGTCTTATTAAAGCTGCTGGTTTTATATCTGCTGTATGTAGTGATATATTGAGTTTATACTCTCAGAGAAAAGTTGGGAGTCATTTTAGTGTTGTGCTGCATTTTCTTAAAAAATGGATGTGAGGTGACACAAACAGAATCTAATACAGAGGCGGTGCTGCACCAGCAGCTCCACTCCTGTGGGAAATCATTGTCAGTGTGCTTGTTTCTGCTCTGAACGCTCCTCCTCCTCCTCGTTTGGCGGTAGCCTCAGAACGCTCTGAAACACTGCAGCTGACTCTGAGACAGATTGGGGAAAAATGAAGTTATTACAGGATGTTGGGACAGTGTTTCATCTTGTTCTGTCCTCTCCGAGTTATACATCTTCTCTCAGAACAAGAAGGATGAGGGTTTATTTTAGAGAATACCAGATCTGATTGTCACACTGAAAACATGATTTCTTTACATTTTGTTGGTCAAACACGGAAATATGGGAGGGACGTTCAGCTTGTGCTTTATTTCTTTCCAAACGGGGTCACATAGTCATCCGTACCGAGAGATTATAAACGAATCATCCTGCTAAGATTCAGTTTGAGCATCATACATCAGGAATTACAACAAAAACTACATAAACTAAAAAGAAAGTTGTTGTTTAATTCACCTTTTTTCACCTGCAGATGGATACAAATTTGGAAAACAGCAATAAAGGTTATTGTTCTTGTTAGGTATGAGTTTGTTCATTTTTCTAGATTAGAATTACTTTCATCAAATGTTTTAGAAGCATTTTAAAGAAATGTGAAGTTTATTTAGCTGATTTTTTAACACAAGGTGATGGTTAAAGGCACAATACACAACATTCTTATGAGAAATAAAAGGTAAAATGTATAAACCAGATACATCATTTTTAAAAGCCATTTAAACTTGTAAACCTTTTCAAAATAAAAGCTGTTTTAACAAAGATCTTCAGCTGTTTTAAAGGAATAAAAATAAATGTTTCAAGTTTTTTTTTTATCGTTTTGCTTCCTATTTTAATTTGAAAAGCTGATCTATTTCCTTTTATGTGTTCTAGGTCAGATAAATACCACACCTGTGAGTTATTAGTTGATTAGGTTCCCTGTTTGTTGGGGTACACTCATTTGTTTTTATTATTGTGATTATTGATGTCATTTAGAGATCATTTGTCTCCTAAAATGTGAGATAATTGTCATTTCTGTAGCAGCTCTCAGAAAACTTTAAAAAGTGTTGTTATTTTTTTAGGGAAAATGTTGAATATGTGTTTGTTTGTTTGTTTGTTTGTTTATCTCAGCTCCCACTCAGGTTGTTTTCTCCTTCGACGTTGGTAACGGCCCGCTGGAGGTGCGCGTGGACTCGAGCGTCCTGCTGAATGACAACCGGTGGCATCGAGTCCGAGCTGAGCGGAACGTGAAGGAAGCATCGCTCCGAGTGGATGAGCTTCCTGTCGCCACGCAGGAAGCTCCTGCTGACGGACACATTCACCTGCAGCTCAACAGCCAGCTGTTCATAGGTGAGACAGTTTCTCCTTGTTTCTATGTCTCACGAGTCCCTCGTTACAATAAGCAGATGCTTCTTCAGCATGCTTCATAATCTTCTCAGGAAAAATCCTACTTGGGAGATGCATTTGTCAGCGTTTCTGGAGTCTGTTTGTTTTCTTTGACTTTCATGAAAAGAATTCTAAGTCTTGGACACAACTTCTCCCTTTTTACCCTTGAAATAAATCTGTAATGGATGTGTCACTAAAAATCTAAACAATGTTGCATCAAATCATTATTATCCATTAAATCATGGAGCCCAAAGAGGAATGCTAGGTCTTAAATCAGTAGAAATTTCTGTGAGGAAACAACTCTTGTCAGTCGTGGGACGGGAGTCTTTCAGACTGCCTCTGCATGCTTTTGGATCATAAAAACAACGAGACGTGCTCACCACTACAGATGTCAGTCATGTCCAGCCTATGAAGAGACACACTGACGTCATTAGCTGTGAAACCTCCGTAGCTGAGGTGCAATGTCCAGAAAATAAACCACAGGCCTTATTGGATACGTGCTGCTGTCTTTCTCTGTTCTTGCTGGAAACATGAAACCAGCAGGTTCTCCCGAGGACCCTCACCCCCCACCAGCTTCGAGGTCTCTGTTTTTGAACTCAGTCTCTCCCCTCCTATTCTTTTTATTGTGTTACCGACCACCAAAATATAACTCTGCTTTTATTGGGGACTTTTCTGACCTTTTAGCTGAATATCTCCCCAGGTATGACCAAGGTATTATCCTTGGTGGTTTTAATATTCACGTTTGTTGTTTGTCGAATCCTCTGGTGAGAGATTTCTCAGATGTTTTGGTTTCATTTGGCCTCCAGCAACTGGTTAATGTTCCTACTCATGAGCACTCTCACATAGGGCTGTCGCGGTAACCGCAAAAATGAAATATCGCAATATGAAGAAGCCCACCGCGCTGCATCATGGGCCACCGCGATTACTGAACTTGGTTCAACTCAATGATGCATGTTGAGAAGGATGGCTGCACTGGTATCAAAACGAAACGTTACTTCGCTCCTTTGGGAGCACTTTGGTTTTCAGTACGTCAGCTGCTGCGCAGCCAGAGTCCTTGGCCGAGATAGAGCTGCCACCAGCGGCAAAAAAATAATAATAAACGCTCGGAGACCTGCTGAAGTCCCGGACAAGCACTGCTTCTGCAACCGTCCCGAAGAGAGTTTGAGCCAAGCTGGAGCTCACTCGCTACCTGCAGGAGGAATGCATCCACCCTAAAGAAACCCCCCTGACATGGTGGAGCAACAACCGGGAGAGATTCCCTTTGCTCGCCAGAGTCGCACGCAAGTATACGTGCGCGTTAGTGCAACGAGTGCACCATCCGAGAGGGTTTTCAGTGTTGCTGGAAATGTTGCCACCCCTCTCAGATCCTCTCTCAAACCGTATAAGGTTAACATGCTGGTTTTCCTTGTGGGTAACAAGGACGTGACCGAGCTATAAATCACCGTCATTCGTGTGTGTGAAAGTGAAATGATAGTGCGCCCGCCCCCCGGCGCGCGCGCGCCCAGTACATGTAATTTTTTATGCTTGATTTTAAACAACTAAACAAAATGGGGACTTGTTTCTTATTTGTTAGATGCTGCAGCCAAATTTGCATTTAAAAGTTTAACCTCCTGAATTTTGTTGTTTTTAAGTTCAGTCGGACTCCGACTGTCGGAGAAACAAACGTTACTGCGATCTGTGTTGTTACTGCCCTTTGATCTGCATTCAGTAAAGTGTTATAAAAGAAGGCACGGCAATTTTTAACCTTTTTTAAATGTGTAAACATTATGTTTAGATAGTACTGCAATTAAAAAAAGGGCTGCAATAATATCGCACACCGCAATATTAAGCCACCCTGAATCACCGCAGGAGGAATTCCTCAACCGCGACAGCCCTACTCTCACACACTGGATTTAGTTTGATCATTTGGACTGAAGGTGCAGGACTTGGTTGGTCATCCTGTCAGTTTCTCAGATCATTTCTCAGTTATTTTTAACATCTCTGCCATGTTGCCTTTGGTGAGAAGGCAGGCTCCTCGCTACTCAAGGCACATCTCTCCCTCCACGACTGCCTCACTACTGTCCATCCTGGAGGTTGAATTATCTAATCCTTCCTCATCTGGGATCACTACGGATGTGGATGGGCTTTTAAATTCTTTTAATTTGACTTGTTCTGTTGCCCTGGACTCAGTCGCTCCCCTTAAACTTAGACGTAAGAAAACCACCTCTTATCCTTGGCTGAACAATGAAACACGTAGCCTCAGGCGGCGTTGTAGGGTGCTGGAAAGAAGGTGGGAAAAGGACAAGCTACTAATCTCACAGCAGCTTCTGATGGATGCCCTTGACCTGTATCAGAAAGTGTTAGATCGGCCAGGAACAAATATTTTGCATGCATAATCTCTCAACACCAGGGTGATCCGCATAAACTTTATCGCACTGTCAACTCCATCTTGTCAATAACTGAACCTTGTAGTGTTGATCCCTCTGTGTCATTGTGTGCTGAGCTCCAGACCTTCTTTCTTCACAAAGTCCAGGACATTAGGGACAGTCTTGTGCGACTAGGATCTGGCTGTCCTGATGTACCACCAGAACCTCCCTCATTCTGTAACTTTACTCCCATATCTCTTAGTGAATTGTCAGATCTGATTGGAAATATGAAACAAGCAGGTTCTCCTGAGGACCCTCTCCCCCCGAGGATGGCGGGTGATATCTTCCCTATTTTGGGCCCCGCCATCTTAGACATTTTTAACTCTAGCTTGGCTACTGGGGGGTGTTTCCTACTTATTTTAAAACGGCGGTTGTGCAACCAATTTAAAAAAAAACTGGTTTAGACCACTCAAACTTTGCAAACTTCCGGCCAATCTCCAAATTACCATTTTTGTCTAAGGTCCTTGAAAAGATTGTCTATTCACAGATTACAGCACACATGAATAGCTTTTCTCTGGTTAATGTGTTCCAGTCTGGGTTTAGGCCACTTCACAGTACTGAATCATACCTGTCAAACAGAGTTTTCAAGGTTCAGTTGGGTAATTGTTCCTCTACATTCCTTCCACTTCCATGGGGAGTCCCGCAGGGATCTGTGCTTGGGCCTCTCCTGTACATCCTCCCCTTGGGTTTCATCCTGAGGAAATATGGCCTGGGCTATCATATTTATGCAGATGATTGCCAGATCTACCTGGCTTTGAACAAACCAGGCTCCCTCTCTCTTCTGGACCAATGTTTGGCTGAAGTGAGGGTTTGGCTTGCCAACGATTTCCTTAAGCTGAATGATTCTAAGTCTGAGGCACTCCTAATGACCCCTAACAAAACCACACACTTATCTTCCGATTTGGACACTCTCCCATATGACCTCAAGCAGTGTGTTACCAACCTGGGGGTGAAACTGGATACACACTTTTCCATGGGCCCTCAGATTAACGCAGTGGTCAGATCTTGTTTTTATCAGCTGCGCAGACTAGTTCGCTTAAAACCGATCTTGAAACGAGCACACCAGGAATCCGTCATTCATGCTTTTATCATCTCCCGACTGGATTATGCAAATTCCATTTTCATTGGTTTACCTGCCTCCGCTCTTAACAGGCTTCAGGTCATACACAACGCGGCAGCCAGGTTTTTAACAAACACCCCTAGAAGAGACCATATCACACCTGTACTGGCGCGGCTCCACTGGCTACCCGTAAACTTCAGAGTCAAGTTTAAAATCCTGACTTTTGTTTTTAAGGCCCTGAACGGTCTGGCTCCAGATTACTTGTCTGATCTTGTGACTCGTTATGTGCCAAACCGGACATTGAGATCTGCTGATTGCCTGCTGCTTCGCGTTCCAACAATGAAATACAAATTGCGGGGGCAGCGTGCTTTTGTCTATGCTGTTCCGACACTCTGGAATGCTCTTCCTTTTTCAGTGAGGCTGGCACCATCCCTCCTCCGGTTCTAGTCACTACTTAAGGCTCACTTTTACGACCAGGCATTTTTAAATCCCTGACTTTTATTATTATGTGTCTTTTTATTGACCAAGATTATCTGCCTTGTTGTGTATTTTATTGTTGACCGTGTTTTGTTTTATATTGTGTTTTTAATTTTTATTCTGTACAGCACTTTGGTCGGCTGCCATGCCATTTTTAAATGTGCTTTATAAATAAAGTTGGTATGGTATGGTATGATATCACACAAACTGCCCATATCACACATGGTCTTCCAATTCTTCTGTGATTCCGTGACCTCGTGGGAAAAGCTGCGTGGAATTCTTGTGCTGCTGCGTTGTATCTGAAACGCTCTCTGGTGGAAAGGGAACTCGTGGTGAAATGTGCCTGTTAGGTTATCCACCGCTTACCCATCCAGGGGACATGCAGGGTTACCACATTTTCCACCGGACACGATTCAGCCATGAGACCTACTGTAGTGGGCCTTTCCAGTGGATGCAAAGTGTAACGTTTTGGGCTTGTTCCAGAAGCATTATGCATTGCTTATGTTTTTTTTTTGGGGGGGGGGGGGGTGCCTCTATTATGTTACACACCTCTTAAACGCCTGGTGGAAAGGAGGGACTTACAGTCAGAGACAGAAGCAGCAAGCTAGCATAAGTGTCACCCATTTATACTAAAAATTCACCCCAGCCACTTGGGTCAGCTCTTCTGAGGTAATCCCAAGGCGTTCCCTGGCCAGCTGAGAGACATAGTCCTTCCAGTTTGTCCTGGGTCTTGCTTTAGGTGTCCTCTCAGTTGGACGTGCCTGGAAAATCTCACAAGGGAGGCGTCCAGGAGGCATCCTGACCAGATGCCCGAGCCACCTCAACTGGCTCATCTCGACATGGAGGAGCAACGGATCAACTCCACGCCCCTCCCAGATGCCCGAGCTTCTCACCCTATCTCTAAGGGAGAGCCCAGTCATCCTACAGAGAAAACTCATTTCGGCCGCTTGTATCTGTGATCTAGTTTTTTTGGTCTCCACCCAAAGCTCGTGAGCATGAACATAGCTCGACTGATAAATCGA